GATGTGCCACTCGGCGCGCTGCGCCGCCCCCATGTACAGCTCCATCGTCAGCCTGGCCCTGGCCGACCTGCTCTACCTCTCCACCATCCCCTTCATCGTCTGCACCTACCTGGCCCAGGACTGGTACTTCGGGGACCTGGGGTGCCGCATCCTGCTCAGCCTGGATCTGCTCACCATGCACGCCAGCATCTTCACCCTCACCCTCATGTGCACCGAGCGCTACCTGGCCGTCACGCGGCCCCTGGACACCCTGAAGCGGTCGCACGGCTACCGGAAGGTCACGGCGGGGGCCGTGTGGTCCGTCTCCCTGCTCCTCACTTTGCCCATGATGCTGATGGTCACCCTGACCGAGGCGGGCAAAGCGGAGGGCAAGGTGAAGAGGATGTGCGCGCCCACCTGGAGCGTGGACGCCTACCGGACCTACTTGACCGTGCTGTTCAGCACCAGCATCATGGCCCCGGGGATCATCATTGGCTTCCTGTACACGCGCCTGGCCAGGACCTACCTGGAGTCCCAGAAGAACCCACCCCACAAGGAGAGGAGCAAGAGATCCCCCAGGCAGAAGGTCCTCATCATGATTTTCAGCATCGTGCTGGTCTTCTGGGCCTGCTTCCTGCCTTTTTGGATCTGGCAGCTGGTGCAGCTCTACAGCAGCTCCCTGCAGCTCACCACCCAAACCCAAAAATGCATTAACTACCTGGTGACCTGCCTGACCTACAGCAACAGCTGCATCAACCCCTTCCTTTACACCCTGCTCACCAAAAACTACCGGGAATACCTGCGCAACAGGCACCGCAACTTCTACAGGTTCACATCCTCCTTCCGCAAGAGGGGATCCAACCTGCAGTGCTCCTGGGGACGGTCCATGTCCTCTAGCAACCAGTACGACTACAGCTCGGAGGCCCTGGGCATGGCCACGCTGAAGGACAAGTGAGGAAGAGGAGGTGGTCTGGAGACATCAGGACCAGAAGTGCATCTGTCCAAGGTAGGACTCTGAAACCCCCTAGCCCAGCAGGGTCCTAAAAACTCGTTTCTGGGGGCCATTCTAGTTATAGTGCAATAAGCTGTGTGAGCCCAAGTACTGTAAAACGCATTTGAATTTCTGTCTGGCTCAGGGCTCTGCTCCTACGCGCTGGGGACAAATCCTTCCAGCGCTTTGGGTGCAGAAGATGAGGTGGACACTTTATTTTGCTCTTTGACAAACTCTGTCCAAGCCTTGCCGAGTTCTGCCAAGCTCCGGCTCTGCACCGGTTTCCCTGTATGATTTCTCAGTGCTGTCCTCAGGCAACAGTTGGGTCAGATCTGCAAGAGTCTGAAATTGTCCTGGTCTTACTGAATTTAGCTGCAGGCCTTGGTTTTGTCCTGTATATTACCGTTATCTGTTCATAGGGTGTGTGAAGAGACCTTTAAGCCCTTTTTCTATTTCCTGTTACATTACAGCATGCTACAGTTTGATCAAGCTTAAAGTCTCTGTTTTAAAATTCACTGTAGCAGCACTGCAAACTCCAGGTGCTCAAAAACCACAGGGTAAGCTGTAAGAAACCACAGGATTATCTAAAAGAGCTGGTAATTTTTTAAGTTTTCTGTGTGAGGTGCTTTTAATTTGCCTTTTTTTTTTTTTAATTAGCCCCTTTCTCTACAGTTATCGGGGCTTCAAAAATCTGAAATTTACCTTAGAAAGGAAATTTTCATATAATCGTACGACTCAAAGGGCTGAGGCTTTAGGAAAAATGACTGAACACTGTATGATGAGACTCATTGTAAAAGGGATACATGTATTGAACAGCATTTTGTCTCAATGCACTCTGCTCATTTTCTTCCCATTTAGCATTTAGTAGCACACCTCCACTGGAGATGTTAAACATGCCTGTAATCTTCTAAACAATTGTAAAACCTCTGTTCATAAAATAAACTATGATTTAAAAGTGGACCGTCCTCAGGTTTCTCCTCCCACGGTCTCTTCACCCCGCGCAGAGGGGTGCCGGTACAAGAGGAAAGGCTGCTGCTCTCAGCTGTCCTCCAAGGAGCTTCTCTAAGTGGGGGTGAAGCTGGTTTCGAGCCGTATTTCCTCTGTTCTGGGGCAGACTCTGGGGATAAGGAAAGCATGAAAAGAGTTGCTAAAACTATTGCCGGCAAACAGTGAGCTCCAGGGACTTTTGAAACAATAGTTGCTTAAGGTAGAGTCGTTTCCACTTGCTTTGACGACACACTCCTACCCCCATCTGATGAAGAGGAGTAACACTGCAGCACTCCCACGGTAACAGGTTTCCATATCCTTGGGTGATGCTCTCACAGCAAAGCTGAACTTTAAGGTATGTTTGTGCTAAAACAGAGGCACTAAGTACCTATATCACAGCAAAGAACTGAAGGGCAGAGAATACAGAGCACAGAAATACTCTGGATTTAA